CGACCTGGATAGAGGACATTTGATAAACATGAGAGCAGAGAACTAGCCCTTTGTTAGATCTTTTTTTGAACATGTGACTAACCTGAGCTGGAAAGGAGTTCAGAAAGTCGATAAGCTGGAAGCCTGACTCCTGGATGGTCAAGGCTGCCTGTCGTATCACAGAGTGCAAAGATCTCTGGGATTCCTTCAGCAGAGCATCGAGCCAGACTTCTACATTCCCCTCTGCTGTGATGGGATGCTCCAATTCTATAGTCTCTCCCTCCCGAGATGAGACGGCCAAAATACGGTCGTATACCTGAAGGCATTATTTTAAAGATGTCACTGATCTGTGCTGCTGAGCTGATTTAAAAAAATAATCTGTGTAGAAAAACTTGCTTTGTCATGGAATTTGACACTTTTGATGTTATCAAAGATGTTGAGAAGGTGGGCCTGGATGGTGTGAGAGTCAGAGGCCTGGCCCAGGATCTCCAGCAGAGCGGGGTCAGAAACAAAGAAGAAACGTGGAAACTGTAGACGCTTCTTTTCCAAGTAGCTGTTTCAAAATGTGAACATAATGTTAGGTGGTCTGGTGTTGGATTCTGGTGTTGATATGTTAGTCCAGGACATAAGGACTTGTTTACTGACCCTGTGAGGGACTTCTGGCACATCTCCAGCTGTTCAAGGAGACGAGGAAGCAGGAGTCCCATCGTCTCATCTCCCACACATGACTGGACAACGTTGGGCATCTCGTGTGCCCGCATCATTATCTTCACCCATGACTTATCGATGTTGTAGAAACGCTTTGCTTCCTGTGACATGGAGTATCAAGATACTTCACATCAAATATTGACTATATAATCGAAAAAACATTTTAAGAAGACTTCATAAAAGCCTGATAACTTGTTTTACTCATATTTAGGGAATAAAAAAATAGTTATGCACCTTGGGCATCTGTTTGGCAATGTCCCCTCCCACAAACACTGCCTCCAGGTAGATCCAAAGGTTCTGAACTGTCATCCAGCTTTCGATGACATCAGTGGTGTTGGAGAGGTTCTGGACCCACTTCTGAATCTGGGATTTAAATGGAGTGTTGTACCTGGGAAAAGAGATGAAATGGCATTTGATCATAACATTAGCTCAACTTTGGCTAAACTGCTTGATTAAGTGCTACATCATACACACAATAGATGTGATTCTAAATATTTTATACCAGCACTAAAGCTCCAGACATGAAATACCTGTTGCTCATGAGTGACCCCAGAATCATCAGACTGTCCTCCATGCTGGTGATGATCTCTGATGTACTGTCTCCTCTGAGGAGGAGCTCACCTCGAGTCTTGAAGCTGGCAAATGTAAAGGTCTTGTAGTCCCACTCAGCTATCACCTGTTTCAGCTTTTGCTCAATGTCCCGCTCTTTCAAAGCACTGATACAGATGTCCTGATGATTTAAAAAATGAAATGAAATTTTTATCTTATGTGCCTAATGTTAACCAATTTTCTCTAATCCGATCTAACTGAATCTTTCTTTGTACCTCTATCTCCTCCTTATACTCGAGCAGAGGAGCGTCCATGATGTTCCGCAGCTTGAATGTTTCAGTTTCCACCTCAAAGCTATGTCCAGTCACCTGAGCAAGAGCCAAACTGAGTAGTTAGTTAAACTCTAAAGTTTGTATTTTTGCAAAAGACAAATTTCAATGACCTCTGACCTCGCTTATTCTCCTCCAGTGGCGTGTCATCATTGCCTTGTTGCTCATAAGTTCCAGCAGGGGGCAGCACTCACTGAATTCATCAATTGTTTTCTTCAGGTCCAAAAACGCCTGCCAGTCCTTCAGAGCTTGGGGCAGCTTTCGACACCTAAAGGGAGAATGTGATGTAATGTTCCATCATTTTCAACTGTGTTTCTCTCTGTAAGGTCTGTCACAGAAGAAAAGCCGCTCATTTTCAACTGTGTTTCTCTCTGTAATGTCTGTCACCAACCGTGTTTGAAAGTCCATCAGTTCATTGTTGATCTTGTCAATGTTAATGTCAGCCCACAGAATGTCATAGTAGCCGCTAACAGTTTCGATGACGTTGCTGTAAAGGCCATAAAGCTTCTGGAGTAGCGTCAGCTGCTTCCTTATCTCCAGTAGCTGAGGATGCTGGGTAACTGGAAGTCCAAATAGCTCCTCACCACCAGTGTAGGTGATGTACTTCCTGAACAGGTTGTCAAATTGATTCTAAGGGAAACAAATGCATCACATAGAATAAGATGAATGCAAAAGGAAACCATTAACTGTCAAACAATGACACGTCTAACTATGAATTACCCCTAAGGTGCACAGTCACACACCTGGAACATGATGAGTCTGTCACTAGCATCCTGAGGAGATAGTCCCACCACCATGGGTCCCTCCTGTAGTGGAGGAGGCAATGTTAGTCGTTTGCTAGAGACTTCCACGTCCAAGTGACATTTTTCCCTCTTTTACCTTTTCATAATCCTGGTAGAAATGTTGACAGTCCTCCATGAAAACCTCCACATTAGTGAGCAGCTCGTGTCTGAAGTTTGGCTGCAGGGCCACCAGATGATTCTGCACCTCTGTGCTGCGCGACAGTAGCTTCTCCCAGGTGTACCGCAGGGTATCCACCTTGTCTGCCTCCTCTTTCACGACTGACAATTCAAATTTATGAAGCATGGCGTAAGACTCCTGTGAAGAAGGACATGATGTTGTCACATTTTTGTTCTCTGGAAGTTACGAATGAGTCAGACATCTACAGGTCAAACTGTAGCACTGAAGGATGATGTGTCTGCGTACCTCTATGGGAGCAACTTGAAAATCAATAGAGATGTGCTTTTCTCTGATCTCCTTTAGTGCTGCCATGGCGATGCGAATATCATCCAGGTCTTTGATTTGTCGATTCAGTTTCTTTCCTGCTTCATCTACAAAAGCAAATATCTGCTCCATGTCTGAGCGATATTTCTTGTTGCAGTACAGTCCGTAGTCTACCATCCAGTTCTTGGTCTCGCAGGTGAGGGACAGCTTTAGGTCCGCTGGAAGGTAAAAGAGGGATGTGTATGTTGTTATTTGTTCTCCTTAACTATAAAGAAATTAGTGACGTAGAGTTACGAAAACATGGTGGCAGAAAAGAACTGAGAACTCAGTCTCACCCGTGAAGAAAGCCAACGCTCCCACCCTGAAAAACTCTGGCTCTGAGTTTATCTCTAGCTCCAGATCTCGATAGAAAAGAATCTGACTCTCAAATTCTGACAGTAAGGGATTTCCCTGGATAAATCTGTAGGAAAAAAATGTAAATAACCATTATCATGATTCACATCATTTATGCAGTTTATAATGGTAACAGTCAACTGAGGTATTCAACGTATTTTACTCCTGCATGGTGTCTTCACGGTCCTTCATCCAGATGTGATGGTAACGGTTAAAACGGTTGAGCGCAGCAGTCACTTCCTGCACATTTTAGTAAACGGTTATTGATATACAGAAGCTGTAAGTAATAAAATGTAATAATATGTTACTAAAGACCGTGTACCTTCTTGGTGGAACTGATGGAGACACTCAGGACTGACATCAGTTTCACTATCTCCTTGTTCTCAGAAATGGTCTTGAAGTGGTTTCTCGACTGAAATGGAATTTCCTGAGTCACAGACCCTGACATGTCTGAGACGCTGCCCTCTGAGGAGAGTTTAGAGCAAAATGTCTTCACTGATTACACTGCGTTAATATTAACTCATGTTGATTAATTTTTTTAATTTATCAAATTGATATTTTTAACAAATTGGCAAGAATCGTGAGGACTGTCCATCCAATAATCCCTCTGTCCAACCACGTATTGATGCTCTAAGACACAGATGTTATTTTCGCATATTGTGGGAACATTTTTTGTTTCCTGAAGCACCTTTAGATACAGAATCTGAATTTGTTGGGCCTTAAACCTCAGGCCTGTATTATATTTAGGACTGTTGATTTATTCTGATTAACCATAATTAATGGTGATTAATTACATTCACAAGTCATAATAATTATGGTTTACCAGCCAGGCTCCTGAACGTTGAAGCTCCATCGTGTTTCAGAGCGGCCAAACGTCTTTCATTCATTTTTCTCTTCAAAAGAAAAACATTTTATCAGTGTTACTTTATGTTTTACAACATACGTTTTATTCTCTGTCATTCGACCAAACTCACCTTGGAGATCCTTTCTTTGCTCCACTGACTGATCCCTCTGCTGACACCGACCACACACTTCACAGCTTGATTTAAAGCCTGCTGGACCTCCTCCAGGGATGGAACCATGGCAATTTGAGGGATGGAGAGGTTCACGTCCACTCGGAAAATTGCGGGCTGACCGCTGTGCTGGGCACTAGTGGGTGACTCGCTCTCAACTAAAACAGGACGGAGGATATGATTGATTATTTAGTTTCATTTTTTTGGTTCAGTGCATTTCACTTTCAGTTTCAACAGATATGTATGAATTGTCAAGAAAAAATATATAGTTTTATAATCGTTGTCACCTGAGAAATGCATGGGTGCGGAGCCTTGAACCCGCTTCCGCAGTAATTCCAAGGTGTTACGGATCAGTTTAAATAAGGCGTCCACGTTGCGGTGGTTGAAGAAGGAGAGCAGTTCTTGGGCTTCCTCCTCCATCACCTCCATGAGATCCCTCTTTTTGCGTCTCCTCACCAATGGAGAGGAGGGCCCCACACTGGCAGGGGGGAGTAAGGTGTTTCTAGATACAAGACGACCCTCAGAGTGACCCTCATCGTCACCTGGGGTCAAGGACAAATTAAGGACATTAGATAACTTTGTATATTTGTTTCATTTTTGTCCAATCTCTCTGTGACACTTCCGATGTTGTCAACATACCCTCATATTCCTGGTGCTCCGCGGTCTTGCTCTCAGTCGACGTTTCCTCCTCGACTCTTTCCACCTCCTCTCTGTGACTGTGGTCAAACTCCAGCAGCATGTTGATCAGTTCGTTGACGGCCTCCTCCACCAGTGAACTCTTATTGTTAAGATTCTGGGCTTGTTTTACACACAGCTCCTACAGCATACAAGAAATATACGAGAAATATACAAGAAATATTTATAACAGAGTTGGTAAAGAGCTTCTGGCAAACCTAGAGACATTTTTTTTCTTATTTTGAAAAGTTGTGTGTGTCCATGTGTAATGATTCACCCTGGTGGTTCGGACGAAGTCCTCGCAGCTCACGGGTTCATCCTGTGGCAGAACACACAGCGTGGAGCTGCTCATCTCCTGCAGCACTGATTCTATTCTGTACTCCACCAAGTCGTTCACTCTGTCCAACAACAGCTCCAGGTCAACTAGGGACACAGGACCATTTTACTGACATTCTGACAGTCTGACAGTCTGAGAGGATGGCTGTGCCAAAGAAAAGTCTTCTTCTTTTTACCTAAAGCCTTGTCAATGTCATTGAGGTACTTCTCTATGTTCAGAGACGTCCAGTTCAGGGAGGTCAAACCTGGTTGTATGGCTTTGTCTACCTGTAAATGGAGACAGACAGACATCTGACCTTAGGATTGAAAACGTGTTATCGATACATACAGTATAAGCAAGAATTAAATAAACAACAAATATAAGATTATTACCTGACGACATCATCAACATAAGTTTACCAAAAACTGCAGCTACTCCAGGACATGTTTCCAAGAGCAGTAACAGTGAAAATTCTTGTTTTGAAATAGCAGTTCTAATTACTATATTTATTCTCACACTGCTTCATAATTTCAAGAAAAGAACTTTGTAATAATTCAGAGTTTAATTTTGTATTTATTTTCTACAGAACGGCATAACATGTCCAACCTACCTTTGCTACGTGCGGCATGAAAAGCTGCACAAAAGCGCTCTGAATCTTCGCCCGCACTCTGGTGTTCTCACTCAACATTAACTACAGGAGAGAAAAAAAACATTTTAAAAAGTGTTTATTCACAACAGGAACACAGTAGTCTGTACCACAGATTGTTTTAGTTTCCATCCTGTGCTGAAGATATGGACTTTTATTTTGGTAAATACAGACCTGAGTTCCCGTGACCCTTTGTCAGCTCTATGTGCTCTACGTGTATAAGACCTACCTGTAGTTTGCCGTAGTTCTTCTTGAAGGTGTGCTGCATCTGCTGTAGCAGAGCAGCGAATGGTGGGATCTCCAGATTCATCTTTGTCATGCAGCTGGTCTCTCGTATCTGTGTCTGAAGCTCCTGGTCAAAGTTAACCACCAGCTCCCCTGTCTCCACAGATCTGACCAACAGGAAGGCCTGCAGGCCCACACGTGCACGCTCCACCTGGGTCAGAGGGTTGAAGGCGTTGAAGTAAGTTGTGTAAATAAAATTAATTTCAATGAAACTGGTTGGATGAATCACCAGACTTCCTGTGTATTAAGTTGTAATCTTTGTGGTCCTTACCCCTCTTATCCAGCCTTGATGGTGAAATATCTCAAACTCTACCAGGACTTTTGCTACACTGTTATAGTTTCTGATAATTCTTTTGGCGTCTGGTGTGGAGAGAACTCCAGGATGCTGTCCAGAAGTGGGGAGGTCCGGGATGCCTAAACTGTGGTGCATTTGAAAGCAAACAAAAAAAAAAGTCGAGCTCTCCCACGTTGACACATTTCAAAACTCTACTGAACATTATTTAAGTTACTACAAAACAAAAATAAAATCCGATTGGACAAAGTGAAATTTCCCCCTAGTAAATTACATTAATGTACTATTTACTTGAGGGAACCCGCCCCACACTTTGAGAACCTCTTATGTCAAGATAACACTCTACTATCTTTCACCTTTAATTTCTTGTTGAATACATTGACACACAGGCGAACTGTACAGCTGGATTAAAATAATCCACTGGGAATAAAAGCTAAAAAAAATGAACCTTTACAGTAAAGAATGTAATAATTGTTAGACAGATTGATGATTTACCCACCGTTCAAATGTCTTCAGCACTTTTAGAGCCTTTTCCGTGTTTTGGATTGATTCAAAGGTGCTGTCCATAAAGCACTTGAGCTGATTCTGGAACCCAACGGAACAGACAATGTGGGAAGGAACATATTTTTCCTCAATGAACGGTTTTGACGTGAAAATAAAACCTTCTTTTCCGATGCTCAGTTCAGCCGAGAATATCAGCTCACTGTAGTACATCAACGCAAATGAACGTTCTGACTCTAATATTTTACTCACATGGACCTCAGACGTGTTTTTGCAGAAGTGATCGTAGTCGACATCGAAGTCGGTTCTTCTCTGGTCCAGAAAACTGTAGTGTTTGTTCTTCATGTCCAGCACAATAGCCTATCACGAGCACAGGAAAAACGCACACACATTATTGTTGAACACACACCTGCTGGTTTGTCTGTAGTCTAGTCTGGTGGTGCCCAAACTTTTTTTATTTTATTTTAAACATTGTAAAAATATTGATATTCTGATGGAACAAAGGAAATTGTTGTTACATGGACTTCAAACTGTTGGGGTTAAAAAATGGCAAAGTTGACAGAATGAAAAATATCTGAACGTTACTTCAGTGATAGAATGAAATATTTTACGTTTGTCTGGTTAACATGCATTTCATGATGTCTCTCCATGCATTTAACTCTACATATGGACCATGCGTTTTTTTAACCACTGCCATTGGACGTTACCTCCCATTTCCCCTGCATTTCTGCAGTCTGCACAACCGAGGAAGAAAAAAAAAAAAAAAAAAACATCACATCAATGGGCCACAAAATATCCATTCAACAATCTCTTCATTAGTCACTGCATCATATAACCTTAGCATTCAGGTATATTTGTATTAAAACATATATGTATATATATGTACATTTATGGTATAGTAACAATATTGTTACTCTGTGAACATTTAATTGTACGTAGTTTTATATTGTACTGCAATATTTATATTCTGACAAACAGTCTGATTTATATGTAAACCCACTTGGAATTTTGTAGCCAAGGTCTCCAGTCCAACAATGTTAGAATCCTGCAGCACCGAGTAGGTGGAAATCGTGTTGAACATTTCCAGAATCTTGTTGAGTCGTCGCTGGAACGTGTCAAACTTCCCAAAAATGTACTTCTCACTGAAGTCGAACTGTCTTTCCGAGGGAGTTTGCTCCAGCTTCTTTTTGGTTTCATGGAAGACTCGCTGGTACTCCTGGAAGACACACATATATATATATTTGACACATATTCTTACTTTGAAGTTTAGCTCTGTCTACCTTCACACTACGTTAACTTAATTGTGAATGTTTTGGTTTTAGGAGGAAACCAGAGCACTGGAGGAGAACCCTCACACATGGGAAGAACTTCCATCAATCAGCGTCATCAAACAGGTGATCTTCCAAGTGTAAGGCAAGAAATCTAACCACTCTTCCACAGCGTGTCCTGTATACTGATCTATTTCTCATGGATGTGTAGTGGTCAGTACCTGGTTTAGGTGAATCGCTGCTTTGATTTTGTCAACAACAACGTGCTGCGGCTGTTGCCATATCGTATTACAGTCGTTGTTAGTGATGTAGGCCTTGCACGCTGTGATCATCTGGTTTGTCACCTGCCGGTAGTGAAGTGTAAAGTCAGGTGAAAAATGCACAAAAAAAAAACTCAAACACATAAATCCAACAGGAGCTAAAGCAGTGGTTCCCAAACTGTCTTGTCTTGTGACCTCAGCGACATTTATTTTTTTCTAGAATTAGTATTTGATTGTGTTTGTTACTGTATACCAGTACTTCTCAAATATTCTCAAACAAGAATATTTTAAATTTTTTTTTAAAAGAATACTAATTAGCTGAAAATGCTCAAATATTCTCAAACAAGAATATTTAGAATAAGGGACTCAATAATTATTAAACACAGAGTAGCCAGATTGCTGCACATAGTGACTCAGTGACATTTATATATGTTGCATTTTATTTAAACTCAGTTTATATTATATATCAATGAAAGTGAAAGAACACAGTTTGAGAGCGTGTCTGCTGTTTTAAATCACAATTTTAAAAAGAATACTAATAAGTTGAAAATATTTTTTTATCATTATTTTTCTATCAATTACTAGACATTTCCAGTGCCGCGACCCCTAAGGTTGACAACACTGTATGAATGGAATGCATGAGTAAGACAATCTAAAAAACATACAATTGAGGGGGAAAAAAAAGTTCTGTTGCTGTTGGTTACAGAACAGACACCAGTTGTACCTTGACAAAGAGTGAAGTAATCTTCTCTGATGTGTTGAAGTAGCTGGAAAAGCTGTGCATCATCCTGATGGCGTTGATCAGACTGGGAACTGAACTCACCATTGACACCTGAGGAAAAACACACGTGTGATGACATCAAAGAAAAGAGATTTAAAAAAAGGTCACTTTGATGCACCAACTGTTCTTTTTTTTTTTCTCACCGGGTCGCTGTTGTACAGAGGTTCGTAGTACTTCTCCAGGCTGTAGAGGTATTTCACATTGTCCTTGCCCTCGTTGGCTGCGTCAATTATTCTGGTGTACATCTCCTGCCACGACTGAACAAAACGAACAATTAGAAAAAGAGAAAATAAAACACATGTTTTCAAATCTAACAGACTGACAGTCAGACTGAACCTTTATAAGTTTAGATTTGGCCAGGAGTAGAACACCCTGGACAGCTTTCACGTCAGGTCTCTTCAGCTGGTCCAACAGGTGGTTGAAGCGGGACATGTGTCTCTTCCAGTGGATCAGCTCGGCTCGAGGGCCGAGATCATCGTCCTCTTTTCTCAACTGTTCACTCTCAACTATTACCTGTACAAAAAAAGATACGTTATACTTCGATCATCGTTAATTTATTTATTTCTCCTTTAGAAACTGGACATGTGCTCAACTTTGGAATTTTTTTTAAAAATATTTTTCTAGTAACTTGTCTGGTTTTGCAGCTTATAATCCATAGTGACTTGTATAAAATATCCATCCCATATCATCTGTGACCCCAAGAGGGCACTGTCTACACATCTGATAACTGAATGCTTCTATTACCACTGAGGAATTACAAGACTGAACCATTAAGAATATCTGTTTTTTTAAACAAACAAACAAACAAAAAAACAATCCGTTGAACATGGGATGGAACCAAAAGAAAACGTGGAGTCATCAGCAAATGGTCTTCCATCGTTATGCCTTAGTTATTCTAGGGAATATTTCATTGGCTGTGAAGCAACATCTCACCTGTTCGATCTGTTTGATCCAGACTTTCATGCAGCCCTCCAACCTCTCTGTGGTCTCTGTGCTGGTGGCTGCTGCCATGTAGTCTGATGGGGATTTCAGCACCTGCAGGTCAAACGAGTCACACTCCTGCAGTGTAACCTGGGAGGGGGGCAAAGTAACCTGGGAGGGGGGAGGAGGGAGAGAGGAGAGGGGCAACAGCATCATTTAAATAAATGGTTTTCTTGTCTGCAACAAGTAAAATCTAGTAATTCCTACAAAATTATAATTTCTAAAAAATATCTACCCTTGGGAACCACTGTTTTGTGATTGTGCGCGTGAAAGTTTTTTGAAAAATTTCAAAAATCATTGAAAAAAACGATGTTTTTTTTTTTAATTTATGAGACAGACAAAGACTAAAAATATTTACAAAAATACTTAACACTACTACAGTATCAGATTTTTCTACCTTTTCTCTCAGACAGTCCTGTGTCACAGACAACACTGTGACAAAGTTCTCCAACGATGATATGAACTCCTGTTTGACAACCTGGGCCTGCGGACTGGCCACGTCCCCCCAGCCGTGGTTTATGTTCCTCAGCGTGGGGATGAAGATGTCAGAGAGCAGCTGCTCCACGCTCTTCAACAGGCCCACTTCTCTGGTGTCTAACATGTTGAAGTTGACAACCTAGGAGAACGCCAGACGATTTATTCACCTCTAAAATAACGACGTGAGTACATTATATACAAATATAAGTATATTTGGTTAAAAAATAAAAAAAGGAAAGGAACTCACTCTGTGTATGTTCTCTGAGGTGACCGCCTGAGAAGTTCCGTCTCTGGTGAAGAAGACACACAGCCCCGTCAGTGCCACATCGTTCCCGTCCGTCACAAACACTTTTTTGGTGCAACCGGACTGTTGACCAATAGGAGCTGCCAGTGCTGACGCTGATGCTGAGGCTGATGCTGATGCTGTAGGTGCTTAAACACACACACACACACACACACACACTAGATAAATCATCAATTTCAACTTTTCAGCGTTTCAATTTGATCCTGAGAATCAAACTGAGATCAGCTTAATTTATTCAATTACAACTAACCCACTCTGCGGCTGCACTCGCTCTCACAGGATTAATGTCATATTTAATGTTTACATCTAAAACCGTCACCATACCTCTCTCCACTGGCTCGACTTCCTGATAAAAGAACATGAGGCTCTGGAGCCCGTCAACCATGAAGAACTTCTCCATGCGCTCAATCTGAAAAATTGGAAAGAAAAAAAAAATTGTAGCAGTGGTTCTAAAGTTGGGGTTGGTGGCCCCACAGTAACACTTCTGTTTTCTTCAGTTGTTCCTCGTACCTGGTTTCCCTCCAGAATGGTGTCTTCCACTTCGGCTTTTTCCAAGGCCACACATGACGCCACGATACTGAGAACGTAGTCGTGTCTTCCATCCAGCTGAGCACGCTTAGCCTCGCGCTCCTCCTTCAACCTTTGCTGAAAAGTTAAAAAAAAAAAGACATTATAATACAGGAGTCAGAGTCAATCTTTTGATTCAAATGTTTTTTTCAAGATACTAAACACTTTAGTTTAGGGAAATGAGCCTCGCTGACGTGGTAAGAGAAATGTCATGACGTCAGATAACAACAACAACAACAACAGCAGCCCCTGGACGACTCTTACCTGAATGACCTTGGAAATGGTCCGTTTCCAGAGCTGCTTACTAAACACCTGCGACATGACAGCGTCCGTCAACCCTAACCCTCAAACCCTCCAGTATCTCCTCTGTAACCTCCTCTATGATCTCCTTCTCCTTCGTCTTCCTCCTCCACGTGTGCAGAGAGACGAGGTTTCCTCTCACCTCAGCAGGGATTAGTGCTATCAGGTTGTCAGCAGTGAACAGTTAACTATCTGTTTTCACTTTAATGGCCATTCCTGTCAACGCTGAGTGACTTTTCACCACCGGCGGTGGACGTCGGCGTGTCATCGCAACACATATGTACCCTATATAAATATACACATAAATAAATTGACTATACACCTGAGGGAATAATCTAATCCAATCTAATCTAATTTCATTTAATCTAACCTATCATAATCTAATCCAATCCTAACTAATCCAATCTAATCTAATTCTAATCTTTTCAACATATTTGTATGTTTGTATTTTTCAGTGTAACATATAAACCTTTCTCTTGTTTTTGTTTAATTAATTTAAAAAATGTAATTAATTATAATTAATTTAATTAATTAATTGTTTGTTTTATTTTGTTTTGTTTTTTTGTGGCCAGGATTAAGTTTTCTAATTTTGGTTAGTGAGTAAATAATTTAAAAATTGAAAAAAAAAATTAAAATAAAATACAAATCGTGCAGAATGCTAGTTGCTTTGTTTTTGTTTAATTAATTTAAAAAATGTAATTAATTATAATTAATTTAATTAATTAATTGTTTGTTTTATTTTGTTTTGTTTTTTTGTGGCCAGGATTAAGTTTTCTAATTTTGGTTAGTGAGTAAATAATTTAAAAATTGAAAAAAAAAATTAAAATAAAATCAGAATGCTATTTGCTATTCTACGCAATAAAATACAATATAAATATATATATATATATATATATATATATATATATATAAATTTAGTTTTAATGGAGAGAATGTACCAGCAACAGTGCCATATATATGTATATATATATAGTTTTAATGGAGAGAATGTACCAGTAACAGTGCAGTTCATTTGTGTCCTCTGACATTTAATGAGTACAACACCAACAACAACCCAACAACATTCCACACCAGCAACACAACAGTATTAAAAACACCAGTTCATCATTGACGCAAAACCAACTTTTTCAGTGTCTGCCATTTTTTGTGACACGTACGTGCATTTATACCAGTGACATGAATCAGGTGTCACTGTTAGTTTACAGGAACAAGAGTTAAAAATAAATAAATGAATAAAGAATAGAAAGTGTTGTGACACTGCTCCTGGTTGGACTCTGTGCTTCTCTAAAGTCTCTAAACTGTACTTTGATACAAACACAGCTGATTCCCATTAATGATGAATCACATTTGGCCGGTGCAGCGAGCCGAGAAGCCACAGGCCGAGCGCTCGCTGTAACTCCAGAACACTTGGGTCACCTTACCTGGTTTTGTGGTTTGAACTGCAGCATCATCTTTGACAGACTTCCGCCCTGACACTCCTTTTCAGGACATTCCTCTGAAGTGTGTTTTGCGTCGGTACAACGTGAGAGAATTACAGCGTCCAACAAAGGTGACGAGGACGAGGAGGACGAGCAGCTTTTGCTGCAGCAAAACCGTCCTTTTCAAAGCGTTCCTCCTCGCGTGCCATTCGAGAAAGGCCAATTATCATAGTGTTGTTCTAAAAGAGGGGACCAATAACTGCAGTGGTGTTGGGTGACCACCTGTCGGCAGGGTTTTTATCAAGGGTCTGCTCTCATCTTACAGGTCTGACACAACAAGGAGGTCCAGAGGAGAGGCCATGAGAGGGCAGTGTGAATAATTGAACATATATGAAGGTACGAATATAAATGAACCCCAAAAAAATGGTAAGTGTACAAGGAATTTAACAATAAAAATATAGTTCACCACAAAAATTACTTAGTAAAGTTAGTGGTCAATGTGTGTCAAAATTTGACTTTTTTTTTTTTTTGGAGGTAGTAATGATTCTGGACAGTTTTACTGTGGAGGTGGTAACAGTTTATAGAAAAATCACTACTTTAAATATATTTATATTTGCCAGCATTCATTTGTCAGGCGTTACTGAAACCAGTGAAACGAGCAGACTACCACCTAGTGGACTGAGGCGCACAACGCAACCAACTACTTAAAAGTAGAGATACTTTTACCGAACAACTACGAAGTAATTTTATATATTTTTTTTTTATAATTCTTTTTTTTAAAAGACCTCTTTATTTAAATATCTTAACGTCGTCACCCTGTTACTGGACGTATGACGTGTTCTAACCTGTGTCTCCCTGAGTGAGTCCACCAGGACAGCGGGCTGCTGGCTGGTCGCGGCCCCGCTGCTGTTCCTGCTGCGGTGCATCATGGAACCAAGACGAGCTGCGCTGAAGAGTCCTTTAATCATCACTGCAGAGATCAACGTTACCTGACTGAAACACCTGGGTACTCGGTGGGTCACATCTGTCCTTCTCAGTCATCTGTGATACTTTTTCTTACTCCCCCGCCCCAACCCCTGACCAATATGTTGTTGGTGGTAGTGATTTGGTTTCCATGGTGACGAAGGAAACTTTGGAGAGGGGGCAGCTACAGCAGCAGGGCAGGGCCTGGACACGTTTTATATAAAAACAACGACCCGAACTATGCGCAGTATTCACGCAAATATATATATATAATACATTAAGCAATACACATTATATGTATATGTGTATTACTGTTAAATAAATATATTAACATTCAAATTAATATTAATTAAATATTAATTATTAATAAATTAAAAATATTTATATTATAAATATTAACTAAATATTTTTCCCCAAAAAATTAAAAATAATCTAATGAAATAGTGCCTTACATGCAAAAAACCCCAACAAAAACAGTATAATATAAATATATATGATAACAATACTGTCAAATTAAAAAACAGTATAATATAATAATAACAATACTGTCAAAAATTAAAAGACAATAAACCTGCTTACAGTTAATATCCCAACATTCAACCTTGAAATTCCAAATTCAGTCAAAACACTTGAAAATCACACAAGTTTATTGTATCTAAATATTAAAAACAAAAACGTTTTTGTTGAAGAAGTGTTAAGAAAATTCAGTTTTTTTCAGTATATTGTGCTGTGTTACTTTTACGGCCTACTGTAAATGACCAGAATGTGCATGTAACTAAAAAAAATTATTATTTTTCAACAAACATTTTTAATTAATGAACTTTTTTTTTTTTACAGTCTAGTGCGTTCCCTTTTCCTCTGTCAAGTGTGTGATGAAGTCAACTACATGGAACGCGTCCGGGGCGGTCTCGTGTATCATCGCGCTCACTCGGCTTTTTCCGGTGTATGTGCTTTTGGTTGTGAGCTAGCCAAGTCGAGCAGGCTGCTAATGTTTGTGGTATATTTAATGTTAGCCGCCCGGATAGCGTCTGAAGAATGGCTGACGTCGAGGGACATGGGATTTGCTCGCCGGTCCCTCCGTTGCCCCACTGCTCCTCTCGAAGGGGCTCCGGCAGCGGCAGCGCTACACCGGGCACCACCGGCAGTCTCCAGACGGGCATCACCGTTACTTCATCGGGGCCTCGGCTCGTCCGGATAGTGAAGTCGGACTCGGGGTACGGCTTTAACGTTCGGGGGCAAGTGAGCGAGGGCGGGCAGCTGAGGAGCATTAACGGAGAACTGTACGCCCCTCTGCAGCATGTCAGCGCCGTCCTGCCGGGTGGAGCGGCAGACCGAGCCGGCATCTCCAAGGGGGACCGGATCCTGGAAGTGTGAGTGTTCGCTTTTGGTAGCTCGATCACGAGGGTAGTTAAGTGTTTTGAACAACTGACTCGGATGCATTGTTTGTAA